TCCAACTAGTGTTGGGGTCACCAGCATACGCTCCTGCAATATGATTGTGCCCGCCTTGGAATAGACATTCTGTATTTATTAACCCATTGTTAGTGTCTGTCCCGCATGATGACTTCCTGCTCCGCACGGGGGACGTACTTGAATGATCTGGTCCAGTTTCTTGACCGAGTCCTTGCTGGGTCCTCCCTGTGTTCGTTCTCGCTCAGAGCTGGGCCTTGGTATGCCGGTCGCATTTTCTGTTCTGGCTTCTACATCTAATGATGGTCTGGGCGACCCAATCACAGGACTTGTCGGATCTCTTTGATTGTTCGTTCTGGTTGGGTTCGTTTGGGGTGATGATGCCGGGGAGAAGGCACGCTGAGCAGAGCGGGGTGTCTGGTGCATCATGCAGAGGTCAGGGCTTTGAAGCGCCTCTGATCATGGGGTGCGACTGGTTGTAGCTTCGATGATGTTGGTGGTGATGATGGAATGCCCGGTGCTGGACAATTCGAATCGCTTTCGAACAGTGCAGAGGGTGTTCTCCGGCGCCGTGAAGGAGGCTTGGTGATGGATTATCGCCCTGAGTCACCCAGCGTGTAGGGGTCCATTGTTCAGCCAGACCTCCCGCACTTTGTTGTTCCTGCCGCTGGGCAGAGAAATGCCCCGAGCGAGGCTCGTCTTTGTTGGCGTTGGCAGCCTTGACGGGTTGCCTTGACTAGGCAGAAAGGCGGGAACGCGGGACCAGGGGCAACAGCCGCGGACTCGGCCAGGCGGTTTCGCTGTGTTTGCGGGTGACGGCAGGGTCGCGGAGACGAGTTCTTGATGCTGGTCGACGGAGCGCTCGCAGGGAATGGTGGGCGGATGCGGAGGATGGTCGGTGGTGCTGGAGCTGGACCGGATGAGAGCCGTCACAGACGGCGACTGGAAGCTTGGATGCGGGAGGTTGGGACGATGCGAGGACGCAACATAGCGCGAGACTCGATGATGGGATGGATGGGCGGATTGCGGCGGCGTGTGAGGCCGAGTCACGTCAATGGATGACGAGAGAGCGCCAGGGAGCTCCGTGCTCTGAACCATGCGCCGACCGGCATGGGACCTGGTCAAGCTCAGTCCGGGGGATGGGCGATAAGCCCAAGCCTTAATCCGCCCTCGTTGCAGTGGCCTTCACTCTCCGGAGCAGATCCCTCAGTTCTCCTAGTCAGTCAGTCGCCTCGTTCACTAGCCGCATGGGTGTATTTGCCCGGATTGTCGTGGTCAGATGGCCGCGGCCTCGTGACGTGCTAATCAACAACAACAGCTCATCTGCTGCCAGACAGGCCCACCGCCATCAGCCCGTCCCACCTTTGATCTATGCATCTCCCGCCAGGCTTGATGAATCACCTCCAGCACCCTGCTACCAGCTACGGGCTTCATGCACCCATCGTAGTATTCTTGTTCTCTCGAGCACCTTCATTGAGCCGCTGGGGCCCCTGAAAGGTTGGGAGAGGCTACGTAGGTCAATGATAAGAGCTCACACCTCACACGACAGGACTTCCCCTCACGCGCTCCACACTCCACCTGTTGAACTGGCTGTCACCCATTGCCTTGTGCTGATCAGTCCAATGAGCGATAAGAGACCCCCCACAACCAGAGCGATCACGGACATACCATACAAGGAGACGCAGATGTACGGCATGGAGGTAGGCTTGCTTGCCTTGCCCTGGGACATGTTCAATAAGCCTCCATCTCCGTGATGGCTTTGTGCCGGGCTGAAGATACCCAAGCACCCCGTTGTGTATGGCAACACCTCCCTTCGCATTCAGCCATCTTTCAATGTTGGTATGGCTTCCCTGCTCCGGCCCGGTCTCGGAGCGAACTTTGGTCGCACCTTCCCACAAATCATCTGCAACCTCAAGTGAGACTTTCTGCAGGACAAGACATCCGCCCAAGTGGAAAAGACACTCACGAAAGAGGGAAATTATCCTGTCACCACACAATTTAATTTACATGCGATGGATACCATCGACTTTTGAAGGAGGCTCTACATCAACCATCTCAAACAACATTATACCCTGCACTATGGAAGAGCTGCACTCCAGTCCACAAATTGCAACGGCATCTACTGGTAGCTTTCGCCCAACAGGTGTGGCTTGCGCTCATTCAGATCCAGCAGCATCTCTCCAAACAAACCATTGGCCCAGGAAAACCACTGTCTGGTCCAGTCGCTCACGTTGAAGGTGTTGATGGACTCGTGAATCAGCCCCAGGCCGTCCGTCGTCGACACGAGCCTCTTCAGGCCGTCCCGGATCTCGTCATCGTTCTCAGTGGTGAGCAGAGAAGTGATAACAGACATCGGCCAGGCTTGGCCAGGTCCCTGATGTGGTCCGCCGATACTATGTCAAATATTGGTGTTAGTATGTAGCACCGCTGACGTCGCACCAGGTTCGGAGGCTAACAAGTGATCGACTCACCCAGAGAAAGCTGGTCCCCAGTTGTAGTACGGGTTCATCTTCGACAGGACGAACTTGCGGGTGGCTTGGTAGGCTTCATCGCTCACGTTGACGTAACCAAGCAAAGGCGCACTCAGCAGGCTTGGCACATTCGCATCGTCCATCATGTTTCTCGATCCATACCCATCAACCTCGAAGGCATAAATCTCACCAAACTCGTCGTGGCTAACCTTGGCGTACTTTTCGATGCCCGCCCTCACTCCGCTTGCCATCTCACGCATCTCGTGTACAAGTGAAGAGCCGATGCTCTCGGCGATGTCGGCGCACTTCTCGAGATAGCTCGAGAACTGCATGTTTGAGGGGATCAACAGCTGGTAGATAGACGAGTCGTCCGAGGGTCGGAAAGCACTCCGGACTAGTCCGGTCCCACTGCGAATCGGAGCACTTGTACCCTCGTTCGACAGAGTCTCCGAAGCGCTGGTTGTCTCGCGCTGGAAAGTGTACGGCAGCTCAACCAGGGATCCGTCTTCATTGTAGGACCCCACAAGCAGTGAGTTGGTGACATTGAGAATCTGCTCAACGGTTGCAAGCCACTTGTGCTTGCCAAAAAACTCTGCGTCCTTCGTCTTGTCGTAGTAGTCGAATGAAAGTTGTAGGAAAGCCGCGAGGGAGTCGAGCTCGTACTTGCATTCGAAGACAAACTTCTCGTCGTACGTCGGCTTTACAGTATCTTTTGCAGCATATTCGTTCGTCTCTGTTGGCAAGCCTGACTCCGGTGGCGCTTGAAAGGCGTTGCAGAACGGGCTCGTCCGGATGTAACGACCCTGCAGGTTGATGGCCCCTCGGTAGAGTCCGGCTAGAGAGTCATGGGAGCTGTTGGCTACAAGCAGGGCCTTGTAGCTGCGAAGCTGGTTTGCCGAATCTCGAAGCCAGCTGGCGATGATGTCGCCTGTCGTGATGAAGGTGAGCTGGTGCAAGGAGTCAGTATCTTGGGTGCTGATGTCTTCCACAGGTACGTTTCGAAGCCTACCTCTTCATCAGACCCGGCCGCATAACCATGCCAGGAGACGGTTGTGTCGAGCGTGTTCGGGAACGCGTTCTCAAAGAGGCGGAAGAGGTCGGGATCGGCAATCACCGACTTCATCTCGACAATGGCCTGCTCGACCTCTGGCAGTACGAATGTCCGACATTCGGGCGCGGGCCTCTGGTATGGCAGCTGATACCTGCCCGCGGAGAACGGCTCATGGCGTTGCGTCGAATACTCCTTGTATTTAGGACAGGTCTGATTCTGTGCCAGCGCACAAAGCCCCAGCGACTGTAGCAGAAAGACCTGAGTTGAACGCATGGTGTCTGCTTCGTGGTCGGAGACACTGAGAGATATCGGGCGGTTCTAGAATTGCGAGAGGACCTCGGGACCAGGGAAATCACCAACACGGGGGCGACCTTTATTTTATCTACGACCCTCCAGGCCTGCTCGGCCACGGCAACAAGTCATCTGCCGATCGTCATCGGTCACGATCTCCTCACCGGTAGCTGGACGGCACCATGCAGATCAGTCAAGTGCCGCCCCTGCTTCGGCAGCTGCACGACACGTTGTGTGAGCTCTCCAAGGTCGGATCGATGAAGTAATGGCTCCGCATTGAAGCCGAGCGGCCCTCAAGGCAGGCAGCCACAGCGGCATGCAACCCCACAGATGGAGAGAAATGCGTGCCATGTTGGGGACAGTGTGGGTTTCTCATCACTGCCGGGCAGGGAAATGGCTCTACTCGTCCGTCGGCACTGCCGTTGCAGATCTCCGTAGGATCCATGACACAAGGCAGTCCCCATCGCGTGGTTGCGTATGGGGTCCCACCATTTACAAGGATGAAGGCATTCGGTAGTCGGGGTATTTCACCGTGGAATGCCGGAGTGGTTACACTGCAGATCACGGGGCTCTTCGTTGTGTGCTTTACGAACGGAAGCAAGAGGCATGCCTGCTTCCTATTGTTGCAACGAGCTTGACCAGAAACTCCAAGTGATCGTCGTCGTTCGGTGTTCCCCGCACCGATGTGGAAGGGGTGCGGTGCGGGTGCGGTGGATGTGGAGAGGCCGGCTTTTTCGCTGAGAGGGCAGCGAGGCGCAACCATTTGAATTACTGCGATGGTCTCAGCGGCGTGAGAGTCACAGGAAGCCTTGAGCTCGAAGCAGGACAACGGTGCTTTCAATTGTTAGTGACCATGCAAATATGCTTACTCCGTACTTATAAGGTGAAGCTTAATGTCGGTACGTGACGTGAGGACCAGGTGGTCTACGTCAGTCACAGGGATCCTGTGGAAAGCAGTCTTCGAGCGGGCGACAGGATTATACCGACGGCTAATTCGTTTCCAAATTCTAATACACTACCCTACCCCATTGTGTAAGCAGACCAGATACTTCTGTAGGTCCAAGTATCAGCGATTTCACCTAGCCCTATTTGAAGCAACGAGCAAAACATGATCCACGGGACACCATCTGCCACGAAGAAAGGCAGGCTTCGTGCGCCGTCGTGCAACATGCTAACTACTGCAATAAGACATTACTAACCTCAATCGGAAATCACCGAATCATCATCTAGCATTGATGGTCTAACGGTTAGGATTCAACCCTTCCACCTTCTTCGAGGCAGGTTGAGGCCGGGGTTCGACTCCCCGTCAATGCATCAACGAAAACTGGGTTGGTCGCTGTCAACAGCGGTCAAGTTCATCTTTTTTTTTCTTACTTCTATTTTACACCATAGTGGTTCCTTTGTTTTGCGTGTATCTATCTATCTAGCATTGTCGCTATTGTCTCACGGTGTTCCCATGACATTCTTCTCTCTAGCTTTTGCCTTGACCTCTGTTATTCGTCTACTCTTCTAATAAGAACCTGTCTTCAAACAATTCATACTGTTGGAAGTCTAGACAAGGAACTGTGCCATGTACTATATTTGAAGCTATGGAGTGAATCACGGCGAGCTGCTATGATGCCCTGCACGGTAGGTAGGCTCCCTGCGGGTTAGCTCGACATCACATCCCCATGCCTTGGTTGGGAAAACATATCACAATGCCGACTCGAACAGCAAAGGGCTAAGCATGGACAAGCAAAGGCTGTATGTAGATAGTTGTATCTAGTTTCTAAAGACCAGGGCTGTGCCAGCAGGCCACCTGAGGGGTGTCCATGGCCGTCGCTAGTGATTATCCTGCCACCCTCTTCGGCTTCAAACGGCGATACGCGCCACTCCCAGTAACGGCTCTCTCATCACATCTATAACTTGCTGCTCGGGCCCTTGGCGAGCTTGAGCTTGCTGGTCAGCGTCTCCTCGGCCTCGCGCTCGATGCGCTGCAGCAGGTCGTGGCACGAAGGGATGTCGTGGATCAGGCCGATGACCTGGCCGGCGGTCCAGACCTGGAAGTAAGCAGTCACATGTCAGTAAATGCTTCGTTGTGTGTATGTGAAGACAGTCCAATGCGTGACAGGGCAACTTGGGCCCGAGGAAGTAGAAGAAGAAACAAGACTTACGCCGAACTCTGGGTCGCCGTTGATGAACACCTCCTTGCCGCGCTTGCCGCTCACGTACGGCGCCATCTCGGCGAACTCGCCCGTCTTGCTCTCGCGCTCGACCTTGAGCGCGGCCTCGGTGACCTTGTTCTTGTACAGGCGGGTGGTGTTGGTCCAGCGGCGCATCACGATCGACGTGTCCGTCTCGTCGGCCTTGACGATGGTCTCCTTGATGTTGTGGTGGATTGGCGCCTCGAGGGTGCACATGAAGCGTGTGCCCATGTTGATGCCCTCGGCGCCGAGGCACAGCGCCGCGGCGAGGCCCTGGCCGTCGGCGAAGCCGCCCGACGCGATGAACGGGACCTTGAGCGTCTGCCGGGCCTTGCTGAGCAGGATGAAGTTTGTAATGTCCGACTCGCCGACGTGGCCGGCGCACTCGAAGCCGTCTATGCTGAGGAAGTCGACGCCGAGCTTGATGGCGCTCTGCGCGTGGCGGATGGTGGTGCACTTGTGCAGGACGATGATGCCGGACTTCTTGAGCAGCTTGATTACGGGCCCGGGGCTGTTGCCCGCGGTCTCGACGACCTTGATGCCCTCGTCGATGCAGACCTGGGCGAAGGCACCGTAGTCCGGGGGCGCGAGGGCCGGGAGGAGTGTGATGTTGACGCCAAAGGGGAACTTGGTGAGCTTGCGGCACTTGCGGATCTCGTTGCGCAGGGCTTCGGGCGTGGGCTGCGTCAGCGCCGTGATGAGGCCGAGGCCGCCCGCGTTGGAGACCGCCGCAGCCATCTCGGCCAGGCCGACGTGCTGCATGCCGCCCTGGACCACGGGGATGCGGATGCCCAGCTGGCGGGTGAGCTCGGTGTCGAAAGGCATCGTGGGCGGTGGCTGTGGCTATACTTGGTGTGGTGTGGCGATTGAGGACCGGTGTTGGACAGTGCGAGCGAGGGAATCGAAGTCACAAGAACACAAGCAGTTTGTTGTTGGACCAGGAGGAAGTGTCCTTTGCAAGGTGGAGGATCACAAACCGACGTTTAGCTGTTGCAAAGCGGATCTGTCGTCGGCCCCGGGTGCCTCGGTTGATTTTGAGTGGGGCCAACCCCTTCCCCATATGGGGTCGTGTTGCCGAGTCGACCTTGGTAGAGTCAGACAGCTCATGTACTTCAATGGCATCAGATTCATTGGCACTATGTGATCAGATTGCGTCGCCAAAGGCCCGGAAGAACGGGCGCTCCGTCCAGTATCAGCCCCAGGGCTTTTCTGCTGGCTCACGCCGTCCAGCAGCCTATCCAAAAGACGCTGGACGCCAGCCGTGCCGGCTTGACATGTGATCTCCCGGCTCGTGCCATATTGCAGCTCAAACATTGTCGGTTAATCAGCACGACACCTGGCTCTGTTGCAGCCCCTCGATGGCACGCAACGTCGTCACGCGGTACCGAAGTTCTCAGATGCCATGTTTCGAAGTATGGCTTGTGCTTTTGGCCGCGAAACTGATCTTCACAATCGGCAAGCAACTCGCTCTACTCCACAAGGAATCCCGTCCCCGCAAAACAAGTGCGGCGCAGTTCCGCACAGATCCACGTGGCACGGAGGACTCCACGTCTCCCCGGAGCCGTCCGAAGCACAGGATGCTGCAGGCCTCGACTGAGGTGGCAGTGTGCACTTCCTGGCTTAATTGGTTCGATACATGCTTGGGGCGGATTTGAGTGCAGTGGGAGCTCATGCTCGCATTGCAAGCTGGACCCGGCGAAGATGCAAAAGGTGGGCATTGCAGTGAATCATCTGTGTCTGAATGGTTCGAGCGAGGACTTTCACCAGACACCATCACCAGTGCACTCGCACGTGCGAACGGTCAAGGGCGGTGGCTATAGATGTGTTCCTCGCAGCGCAGATCGAAGACCTAACATCGCAACTTCTTGATGGGGACCATGGCAATGTATTGGCTTAGTTCTTCGCTTGTGAGATAGTGGTATACTGTTGTGGACATCTATCGCCTAGGCAGAGCAATGCGGCCAAGTTTCTCGTACTTCCAGAACAGGCCTGCTTCATGAGCGCCACAAGACGTGGATTAAGGGACAAAACCAAACCTCGGTCATGGAAATAGGGCGACTTCTGTGGCTGACTTTGCCCCGTCCTCCCACCTTGGCGGCAATGTGTATGATGGGGTTCTCGGCGAGCAGCAAGACATATTGTGGCTCCGCCCGCCATCAATCCCAGTCTCTGTGTACGTGATCTGGGTGCCATTACATAAGACTGAACCCGGACAAAGGAGAGGCCTATCGGAGAACCAGAACTGGGTGTTGTCAAGCTGGTGAAGCACTTAACATGAAACCAATCTCATCACCGAAAGCCTCAACAGATTGTTACCTCTACTCTGGTTCTGAAAAACTCGCCCTATCCTTGCTCGTTTGTACGAGCCAAGCTGCAGGACGGTTGCCAAGACCGAAGCCGTTGATTTACCACCTCTATGTGGTTCGCTTGCAAGAGAAGCTTCTGGGAGGATTTCTGATCCGAAAGTTCATATGTTCAGCTCAGTATAGGGAGTTTAGATAATTCTAGATCTAGATACTTAGACGTCCTTGGCAGATACCATCAGTTCACTAAATAGCGCAAGTCGAGTTGGCCACTGCGGCTTGTAGCAAGCTCTGCACATTCACCAACGCGACACGCATACCCAGAGCTGGACAGCGCATAGCCGGCACAACGGCTAGAGAACCCATGACAAGATTGACGTATCATTTCGTAACTCGTCAGGTCTTGGTTGTCATCGAACGGTCATTGAAGCATCATGCTGCTGGTCTGTATCTGTCGAGGGCGCTGGCCTCTACCTGAAGACAGCACGGAATATTGTTATCGGCGGCGTCCGAGCGTGCATGCATGCAGCAAGCTAGCTCAAGGTTTCTATGGCGGCTACGCGGAAAGCCCAGACGTTTATGCCGCCGACTTGCATACATGCTGCATACGGAGCACTCGGCATCGGCTGGCTCGCTACGGAGTGCCATGCCAGGGCATCCGTATGCGAGGTGCAGTACCCCGGATCTCGAGCGTTCTGATCCACGACGTGCGTCCAAGGGCTTGGTTGGTTGCTGCCTCGGGGTTGTGCTGCATGATCTGGCCGCTCAGACATTCTCGTGTGTGATAGAGTTCGCAACTGCGTGTGCCGGAGGTCCGGGTAGAGGACCGGGGCAAACGCCAACGGCTGCTACGATGCTCACGCTGAGCCTCGATTAGAAAATGCCACGTTTTATTCGCAACCACGATGTGGATGTGCAGCTCATGTTGCAAGACGTGCCCAAGGGCAAGCCAGCCATGTGCAGTGCTCACACCTTGACAGCAGGAGGCTCTTCCGGCAGCACCTCGACGATGCCCAGCGCAGCTTTTGTGGAGATCACCATATGGCCACGTCAGCGACTTACCTACGACATGGCTACGGCTTCCTGTCAGCAGTCGTTGGAGCGGGAAGGGGCTCTGTCACGTTGGACAAAGACACGGCGCGGCAGACGTGGGATGATGCGATGGGTTGAGTCTTGCCCTGGAGGCTGGAGAAGCAGCCACGGTAGGGCAGCAGCCAGTGTTGAGGGAGTGGGGTGGCTTGCACCATCCGAGGGTCCTCGGGCGGAAGCAGACGACTTCAAGCTTGGAGGATGTTGAAACCGGTCTGCAGACGGCGTTCAGATGAGGCTAGTGGATATGCATGGCTGAAAAAGCAAGACGCTCTGCAGATCGCGTTGTGCGTGGTCAGCTGTGCAGCGTGAGCGATGGCACAAAACGACAAATGCTGCCCGATGTGTGCAGGGCCGGGTGGTGTGCTGTCCACGGACGAGCGTTTTAGGGGCCGGCCAGGCGCGGCAGGAGCTGGAGGACGTCATGATAGGGCCTGGGCCGCCCGTTTGGTCTCACCTGCTCCTTCCCAGGGTTGGCAACGTCCATGTCTCTGGTGCTCCTTCCCTGCCCGGTCCAGGGTGTGCTTCGTTGGGTGCCGATGGTGGGTGAGTCGCGACTGCCACTCTTGTCAGCCTGCGAGCATCCAACAACACCAGCCTTGGAACACCACCAGCAGGACATCGTCATCCTGGAGCTTCGCGACCCCCAATTGACAGCTCAGTCCACCACCACGTTAAAGGCATGGGATGCACGATAATCAGCCAGCAACAATCGCTAGCCCGCCCCTCTTTCCCTTCA